CACGAAGGAATTCTGCCTTTCAATGCTTACTTATCCCGGTCTACTACAACAGACCGTTGATGTTCCAACGATCAGACATACTCTGCTACAGAACCTCAGTGTCACTGAACAGGCATCAGAATGTGCCCCGGGGTCTATTGCAGAACTTGTATCCCATCTCTGCCTACCTGCGCTGCAGAAATTGACACTCATTTACAAAGAAGGGTCAATTATCTTGCCGACCATAGACCATGATACCACACCGCTCTTGACAGATCTCGAGATCCTGTCAGATCCTCCTGCGGTACTGGATGAAAATTCAGTAATCGACATGCTGAGGTGGACCCCGAGACTAAGGCACCTCGAGCTCACAGTAAAATTTACGACACCTGACATTTTCAAAGCTCTTGGAGACATCGAAGACGAAGTCTTTGAGCTGATTCCCTGTCTAAAAACCATCTCTCTTATGGGCGCTGAGTTTCAGTTTGATGACTATGGTCATGTAATTACCGAGATGGTTGAGGCTCGATCTAGGACAGAACACGAGGATGTGGCTTTCAGATTCTTGGAGGAGGTCTATCTGAACGAGGAGATAGGAGATGAGGAGATCTGGGAAGAACTGTGTCATGGAGGCCTGAAAGTATTTGTTATAGCAACATAACTGGCAAACGGACCAAGAGTACATATTTTTCGCAGACAAGCTGAAATTTAGAAAAATGCGAGGAGCGTACGTCGGCTCGCCTTGTCGACAAATTTTATGCCCACTCCTCCATTCTTTACATTGATCGGGCGTTAACGATTAGCATGGGCACGGTGCACGAGAATTCAGTCCAGCAGAGTCAAGCTGCTTAGCGAGTTCAGGACCGGCTTGTAGAGCCATGGGCATAGAGGAAAACAAATGGCATTGTATAATGTTGCAGTAAGTACTACGCCCATGCGCCACACTCGAATACTCCAAACCTAGCTTCTGTGACAGCAATTTGTAGCAATTTGAGCCTTTGAGGATCAGTCGCGACTCGCAGGCTGGCGTATTCAACTCAGGAAGCTCCAAATAATGGAACCTATTTTGGTATAAAATTAAATGAGGCCACAGCATAGGGTGTCGAGGTGTCTGTCGCGACGACCAAGCAACGACCAAGCGCGCAGCCACATAGGGGACGTCACAGGCGCGTCTGTCATTGCACATGTGATCTGTGACACCAACGTCACCCAAACATCGACCGTCATCATCTGCTCAACTGGAGTCGTCGACCGGCAGTAGACCTGTGCGTTCTGTCCGTTTTCAGGTAATACCATTTCTAGAAGCACCCAAAATTAGACCCACCAACTGTTGTTGCCGTTTTCAGCTCGAGTTTGATACAAGCTTCTAACGACAAAGTTGCTGACGGTCGTTTGTGTGTATCATTATTGGCATTGCATATCGTATAATCGTGATTCTTCTCAGGTATTTATCTTTATCAACAGCGCCCCAGAGTCTGGCTGATTGATTCTCTTGTTCTACAGCTCTCCGATTTCGAAGCGAAGCACTTTTAACGACCTGAGTAACGACGGTTAATTCTATGACAGGTATGCTATCTCATTCACTCGGCGCATGCGATGCTGAAATGCTGTAACTCTCTCCGCTAGATGGATAAAACTCTCCAAGCCAATACTTTGACGCATCCGAGTCACTCGACGTCGGCCTGTCCCACCTGTGGTTCTATATCTCTGCGATCTGAGGCGGTGCGGGATCCTCCCTCGCCTGCGCTACTAAAGTTTCTACAGTCGAACAATTTACCTTCAGACGTAGAGCGGGTGGAACTCACCGCAACTGCCTCCACATGGACGTCTGAAACCTCAGATATCGAACAGGACATCGCTCGAGTGCAGGAGACACTGAAGGCCCTCATTCTCAAGCGGAATGGGGTGACACAAAACCTGAATAGTGTTAAATCTGCTCTGCATCCCATTCGATCCATTCCTGATAGCATTCTTCGCGAGATATTTATGCTGTGCGTGAAGGGCTGGGACGACTTCGTCGCGGCGACCACTGTCCACGATTCCCTTGATTCTCGACATCCCCCTTGGACTTTATCTCAAGTCAGTCATCATTGGAGGCACGTAGCCCTGTCGACGCCGCAGCTTTGGTCGTCCATATCTCTCAACTTCAATGCCCACCAGTCGTATCGAGATTTGTTTTGGTCGTTCAAGTTCGGGATCCATCTGCAGAGAGCGGGTCATAGCCGATTCTTTCTCAGAATATCCAGTCTAAAAACATCGCGAAACATCCTATCATGCCTATGCTCATAACGAGCACGAGTCGATGGGGACGTTTACGTGTCAACATGCCCTTCACTTCATTCTCTCCTCTTTCTTTCTCTGCAGAATCTCTCAATTCGCTTGTACAGCTCATCATCGACGGCCCTTCGTCAGACTGCCCCCCCTGTCAAATCGACACCTTTCGCATTGCACCAGCTATCCTGGATCTCCAGATATCTCCTCGAGTCGCCCCTTACCTCGATTTTCCCTGGAAAAAATTAGTCGATTTCCGGTGCGCAGGACTCCAGTCAGACCGAAGCTTGGATGTGCTTCGCAAGTTAGAAAGTGCCGAGAAGCTTTCCCTTCATTTTGATGGCAGAGCAGGTTGCGGGCGACTGCAGGAAGAAGCCGTTCTTCCGAGAGTCACGTTTCTCCAGCTTAGCGAGGGGAACGACTACATGAAGACGAATATGACGAATATCGCAGACTTCTTTTTGAAAGCAAAATTTCCCTCTCTGACTACTTTGATCCTCGCCTATAACCACGATGGAAAGTTCGATTTTCCCCTCGTCGACGCGGCTTCTTGCCCTGGACTACAGACCCTATACATTGAATGCGATCTTTCATCTCATTTCGAGAATCCCAAACGCTTAGCATCGTTTCTTTCGACAATTCCGAATATAAGCTCGCTCACTATCTGCGCAGACGGTGTCAATAAAGCAGTTATTTCGAAACTTGTTCGTCGGAAAAAGGAGGACGTGATGCCTAATCTTCGATTCCTTGATCTGCGCAGCTCGGAATTTACGGTTTCGCATGCATTGATTGTGGATATGGTTCTGTCTCGGTGCAAAGGACTAGACAGAGCCGGAAGCATGCATGTCTTGCTGGAGAAGCTGTGCCTTGACGAGCCACTCGTGCTCACAGATCTCCGAGCGGCTTCTCGATGGAAAGAAGCAAGTGAGCGGGGGCTACATGTTTGCTACGGAAAAGACTCGGACGAGTGGATCAACTTAATGAATGCTTTTTGACGAAGGTTCAGTAATGTTTATTTTCGCATTTCCCCCTTCGCTGACAGTGTCCATAGATCAATCATTACTCGGAGGATAGTGCGTTTAGTACCAGGGTATGGAATCGGGGGCATCCGAAGAAAACGGCCTTCGAAGCGAGTAATACTAACCCTAGCCGTCTGGATGAGAGGAAGGTTTCCGTCATCAGAACGTACTTACTTCAATGACGGTGATGTTACCGAGAACACCAATTTTAAGAAGTGGTGAGCAACGAAAAGAACAATGACGGTATGGTATGGAACACTTTGGCAAATTGAGATGACCGTGATGTCAGATGAAGAAGGGAAATCAATTAGCTTAGAGCAGTGTTACTGAAATAATATGACAAGGGCTGTATCGAATTATTTCTGATATCACGGTAGGATAGATTAGAAGGTACAGCATTAGCCGGCTGGTTCCCAGTGTTGCATGAGACTGAAATAGATTTAACACGCGCAACGACACCCAGCCTTCCCGATTTCTGCAGTACCAAGTTTTTTGAGAAAAAGTAAATACCTTGACTGCAATTAGAAAAGACTCGTAACAAAGAAACACCAAACGATACCCAGTTAGTTATAGCGGATATGAAAAGAATAAACCGCTATGAATGGACGGTAACCCAGAACATTAACGGTCTAAAGTGTATCAGTGGAATAGGTACGGTTGAACTGGTCTGGAGCTCTCCCGTGGTCCAATCCGTCTTAAGAGACCTATTCCACCGCAGCCTCCATCCATCGCCTCGTAACCCTGTGTACATCTCCTCGAACGTAGGATCTTCCAATAATGCCAGCTCCAAGGCCTTGGCGCGGAGTGCCGTACTATTAGAGTGGCCAGCGTCAATTCTAGTCAGTAAAAAAAAGCGCGTACCTGGGAGCGGTATACGCTGTCCTTGTACACTGGGAGCGCCGCCACCTTGTCGTGCCAAGGCTCCTGCCTTGAACTTGGCGACGTGCTTATGTTCGTCCAAGTAGGTGACTCTGAACGTTGATAAGCCTCAAACCCAGTCAATTGTGGTACGTACGACACAAGTTTTTCCCTCGCCAATCAAGAAGGAAGTCAGGATGGAGGACCCGCTCTACTGGGACATCGGCCCGGGGCCGGGACGCAGTAACCGTTTCCTGGGTATTTGGTGTGGAGGCGTAGGTCGCGAGCAGCGATAGTGGAAGTGCTGGAGTGGGAGGTCGGGTCAGAGGCAGGAGGGAGAGGGAGAGACGCCATCCTTCACTGATGGGAAGAGAGTCAGACTGCGCAGCGTGATTGGAGAGCCAGCCTGCGCAAAGTGGTGATCTGACTGTGGGGACAAGAGCAGTCTGGGAACTAGAGGGAGTTTGGGAAAGGAAAAGAACCAAAAGCTAACGAGCGATCTTGACCGTAGAATATCGCTGTCTTTTGACAGCGGGAAATAGTTTATTGCTATGCTGTAAAGGGGGGGGTACATGTTGGTTCAGAGGCAAAAGTGATGGGCTCGCAAGATACAAAGACATATTGCATGCCCTGAAGCTCATGAGCCCCCGCCAGAATGTGATAACGAGACTCTAAGAGTTGGCAGGTTGATGTCAATCTCTGCGTGCAAAAAAAAAAACCAGCAATGCCGGACCATTGGCGATAAGTGTTCTTTAACAGTGGGGATGCTTTTCAGTAGAGAAGGGTGCCATGGATGCTAGAGGGTGAAGGGGAAAGTTACTATGACAAGTGATATGGCCTAGCTGATATTAGATAGATAGTAAGCATGACTATTCGGATATGGTGTAACGGCTAACATTGCCGCCTCTCATAATAAATGCTTTCTGATATCTACGCGGCAGCTCGGGGTTCGATTCCCCGTATCCGAATTTTCTATCAAGTTCTTCTAAATTGTTTTTGACTCTGGAGTTGAAACTTGACTCTGGTGCTGTGCTCATGCGACTCCCAGGACACTGTATAATAAAAGTTTGAACCTTGAATCGAACGTTTTACTAGACACAGGTCGCAGGTGGTCCTCGATAAAGGTAACAGACACATGAGCCTTGGCATGAATTAAATCGACGCTGAATGTCTAGACGTCGAGCAAGGGCTATAGACTACATAAGGATCGATAGTCAAATACATATACAACTCGTGCCATGCTCTTTGCGAAAACAGACAACAACAGTTTACGAAGCCAAAAACGGAGAGGAGCGGACAACAATTTAGACAGTATCCTGTGAACCTGAACGTCAGATAAATATTCGACGTACAGAGGTATATACACACCGTTATCGAACTGGACAAGGGCGAAGAAACGAGGAGCGTTGCACAGCCAGATTTAGTATCCAGAAATCCGCAGGAGGAAGGTGTCGCGGGGTAGGGCAAGAACAGCAGAGTTGTGTCGCTACGAGGTAGGAAGGAGGAGATACGATAGCCTGCGGGTGCATATAATGAGCTTGCCCGTCCGGAAAGAAAGCAACGGAAACGAAGATCTAAGCGCGCATATAGTCAGACGACTTTGGTGCTAGATCCAAAGCGTGCCTTTGAGAAAGCAGGAGCGAGGTTCCATCTATGCAAAATGTAGTAGTAGATTCCCGGCGTCTCGAAGTGATAGTGGTACGCACCATTCAAGCATTGTGCATACCGAAAACCCTGGGAGCCGGAGCTGGTATCCTGCTCTTTCCTGCCGCGGGACGCCTGCGAGGTGGGATATTCTCCGAGTCGATGATGGGCTTGAATTTCGTTACGGGCCTAGACTTGGGTTTGGGTTTTTTGGTGGATATCGGTACTTTTGTGGATGTTTTGCGCGAGGTGGGTATCGCTTTATGCGTGGTGGGTATCGGTATCGGCTGGATGGTGGGTATTGAATTTGATACGAGCGTCCGAGGAATGTGGCAGGCACGACGGAGTTGGGAAGGGTGGGAGTGGTCGTGATTGCTAGGAAGAGTGTTCTTCTCGTTGTGTTGGTCGTCGTTTGCCTTCTCCGTGATGCGCGGTCCGGCATCCTCTAGCTCCTCGTAATACTCCTTCGAGATCCATTTGATCCGTCGTCCCCGGTGGGTGCAGTCGAGCTCCTCCGCCCTTCGGACGAGTACGCTCGCGGTGGGTAACGCCGGACGAGGCTCTTGCAGTCGCCATGTCGTGAGGAGACGTATCGCCTTGGGAAGGATCTCTGGTGGAATCGAGAGTAGCAACGCCTGGGGTCGGTCGGAAGAGAAGGAGTATGAATCGAGGTCGACTGGGCATGGCAGTGAGGTATCCGGCGTGGTGAGCATTGACGAGATGGTGGTGTGAGTAAAAGATTGAAGCTGTTTCCTTTTTAGGGACGCCCTTGGAGCGCTCGGCTACTACTATGTACTAGGACATTCTTGGGTGGGCACGCGATATTTATTTCAGATGTAAGGGACTGCAATGGACCCTCGTCCACGATTTACCCTAGAATCCCGACTTCTCCAGGTTTTGTCTTCTTGCATCCGGCCGCGTACTTCTGCGCTAAGAGTCACCTTCGTCATCATGTTTAGACGCAGTTTCCTTCGCCTTGCCCTTGATTACTGCCTAGAATGAAGTGCACGCCCTTCTTCGTTGTGCCATTGCTCCAGGTTGGTCGAGCTACGCCGTCTCTTCCGTCCAGATGATAAGGTGCGTTTCGCATGCTTGTTACAATTACCGGCACTGAAGCCTCGATTGGCGCAATAGGTACATGGGATTTTCAGCGCTGTGTACATATACACTGGTACCCACAGCTCTAATCATATTGGTACACCTTTTGTGGGAGGCTATATCCTACTACAGCTGCCCTGAATCTATTTCTTCTCATTAGTCCCTGTAGAAATATATATTACACCCATGAGATGTTCTCCTGGTGAGCATCACAGCACATTTCGCGGCAGCACAGAACTCTTACTGGAACCTTTTTTAAGCTCAAAACTCAAAAAATGCTGAACACAACTGAAAGAAGAAGTCTCGATAAGATTAATTTAGATGGTAGCAGTACAGTGAGTGATACGAAAGCAAAACAAGAACCAAAAAAATGTCGAGAACGGATCACCATCCCGCCCGCGCGCCAATCATATTAGTATTTGTACCCATACCCGCGCCGATCCAAGGCGTCGAGAACGGGATATTCATATTGTAGTTCAGAGGCGAGAGCAAAGCACCAGGGTTGGGAGACGCATAGATCGGGGACGCGAAATTCGAGGGGAAGGCTTGAGCTTGTGGAGGAACAGGATAAGCGTTCGGGGCTGGAGTCTTTGAGGGAGGCGGTGGCTCTGATGGCGGGGAATAATGGGCAGGAGGGATATACCCTTGCGTCGCAGGCGGCGAGTTGTTCGGCACTTGGTAAGGACTCGATTGGGACCGTGGCGTAGAATATGGACGTTGATTCGAGCTCGTCTGAGGTGGTGGCTGGTACGGGCTGGTTTGGGACTGTGGCACAGAATATGGATACTGGGATTGATGTTGATTCGGTGGTTGGTACGGGCTCATCAGAGGCGGTGGCTGGTACGGGCTGGCTCGGGTCTGCGGCGTAGGATATGGACGGCCGGATTGATGTTGATTGGGTTGCTGGTACGGGCTCGTTTGGGGCTGTGGTGCAGAATACGGATAGCTAGTAGTAGATTGATGTTGATTCGGTGGCTGGTACGGGCTGGTTCGGGTCGGTGGCGCAGAATAAGGACAGCTAGGTTGATGTTGATTCGGTGGGTAATACGAGCTTGACGTCGTCGATGAAGGCGGCGACGGTGACTCGTCACTCTCCGTCGACGTATCCGACTCCGAATCTGAATCCGAGTCGTCCGGCTCGACCCACTGTCCCAACATATACCTCCCCCTAGGCCTCGCCTTCTCCTCCTTCTCCTTCCCCCGCCTCAACCTCCTCTCCCACTCGCGAATCTCCGCCTCCTCCTGCACCGACATCACGCTCGTCTGCTTCGCAATCGTCTTAGTCACCACCCCCGGGTGCTCCCTCAACCACTCCTCCACCAACCTTACCGCATCCCTGATCCTCACGCGCATCTCCGCGAGCTTCCACGCGGGCCACGCATCGTACCCCATCGTCGCACACTCCTTCCGCACCCAATACTCCACGATCTCCTGCGTCCACTTGCCGCCGCCCTTCACCCGCAGCCCGTTCAGCAGGATCACCACCACGTCCCCCGCGTCGTACTTCTCGTAGCGCATCAGCTTCAGCCCGACCGCCCACCCCGGGGAGACACTGACCATCCGCACGCGCCCCCGCTCGAAGATGCTGTTCTGCGTGAGGTTCCCCGGGTGCGTGCTGCCCTCCCACACACCGGGGGGGAGCGCGACGTCTGCGTCTGCGTTCATCCAGTCCGCGCCGAGCCCGGGGAAGGCGCGGGAGGTCTCGGTGATGGCGCGTGTTAGGGTCGTGCGGACGGCTTCGCTGAAGGGCTTTGCGAGGTAGTCGACGTCGAGGGTGCTCTGTCGGGAGGTCGGGATCGTTTGGTAGGATGGGTGGAGGAGCATTGCGGCGCCGCCGTGGATGACTAGTAAGAGGGAGGGGATGTGGTACGGCGAGCCAGGATCGGATAGTTGGTCGCAGAGGTATTTGAGGAGCGTCTCCAGCATCGGACGCGTTAGAGGGAGGGTATTAGTCGTCATCGTCGCAGCATTAAGATTGTAGTAGTAGCATTCAAACAAACGGAACCTTTTTGTTGAAGCCTCGTGTAAGTCACGTGCGGAACGTCATGCCCGGCCGTTGCCACTATCTTGAGACTGTGATTGGCCTGTTGCTGTTCCGCGGAACAGCGAACATGCGTTCTCCATGCCACCAAAACGTGTTTGCAACGCGCAACTATACAGCACTCTCTGACTCCGACATTCTTGCGGTGCAATATTCCTGTGCAATCTCTCTCGCTCCCTTCATTATCATTAAACCTAATCTGTCCTCTCACGATACCTTTTCCTTGTATAGGAAACGCATATGAACGAGCTGTGCCACTTATCCATTTATATATGAACGTCAATGGGGACTCCCTGAGGAACGAGACTAGGAGCTCGGAATTCGATTCCCGAGAGTTGACGTGCTGTTTCTTCAAGGGTTCTGTTTCAATTTATCAGTGGGTGTAACACTAGTAAACCTTGAAGTTCGTTGATTACCAGTTCGAACTGGGAAGGGTATCTTTTAAGGACATGAGCTTTTGGCATACTCGATTCAACGTCGAGAAGGTGCAACACGACGATCACCAAATACATAGCGCGCCGTACTCAAAGGCACACCCTCAACGATAGCTTATTGAGGACGAAGAACGGGCCCGGGAACATCGACCAGTGCTAAAGAAAGACCCTGTGGCAACAAGCAATTTAGATTCCAAGTCCTGTGAACCTGAACATTGATGTAATCAGATGGGAGAACAGAGACTCGGACCGAAAGGATCCGGTATCATCGGGTGAGGGAATGCAACGAGAGACAGATACTGCAGAAAGAACAGCATTCTTGGGAGAAATCGTGGTGAGAGTTGAGGAGATGCGCCAATCAGACGACGCCTAGGCGCCAGACCGAAATAACAGTACGCACCCCCGTCCTCAAGCATTGTGCACACCGGGAACCGGTATCCTGGGGAGCTTGCGATAGCGGAACATCCTGCGCTTTCCGGTGAGCTTAATGTTCTCCTTCCGGGCTTGGACTGGTACCCTCGTGGATATGGACATCGCCGTGGTGAGTATTAAGGTGGGAGGCCGGCCGGGAAGAGTATCCTCCTAAGACCCCGCATCCATCCTTGTATGGCATCCGACTGGACTGGGATATCGGTACCCGCGTGGTGGGTATCGGCTTGATTGATAGGCGAAATGGCAGAGCTGGCCAGGGAGAACGGTATTCTTCTCACCGTTGGGCGATCCAGTCGTCCGGGGTAGCGCCAATTGCCTT